ACTATTCCACAAAGCTTATAGAAATAAGCTAAAAACAACTTATTGACATGTTAGAAGTTGTTTCCATTGAACTCTCTCATATAATATTTTAAGTAAGTTATACTAATAGATAAGCTCAAATAGCCAGACTCTATGTGTAGCTCAAAAAAGTATACTTACACCGAAATGATTCCTATAATAAAAACAGGTTTTCGACCAAAGCGGTCCGCTACCATTCCCCACAATATGGAAGTCAAAGCTCTACCAACCATGAATGCAGATCCTACAAAATTCAGTCATACAAGCTAAGAAATTAAAATTTTATTATGAGTATAGAAGACATCAAAGAAAGAATCTTACCCACATAACCAGCATAGGTACTAATATCTTCTTCTGTTTCAGCAATATTAAAATCTTTTACCTGATCATACATTAATATTATTAGTTGCAAAAGTAATTAAGATTAGTGATAATATAATAATTAGTGAGTATTTCATAAGAGTAAATGATCACTCACCATGAAATAAAGGTAAGGAAATAGAGATGCTATAGGAAGAGCTGTAACAATATCACAAAAAAAATATGCCAAAGAGATTCATTAAAGTATAAACAATTTCAATGATAAAAGTACTTTATGAAATTACATTAAGTTGCTTACTGGCGCTTAAAACAACAATCCATATATTGAAAAAATTTCTAAATGTAACGTCCTTTTTCAATTCTTTGGCTTTATCCACCTTACAACCAGGACAATTTTCAAGATAATATTGTTTCTTCAACAATAGTTGATCCCCAGAGTCTTCCATATTTATACTTACCACAACCCAGCCTCACTTTTTGTTTAATTTGTTTGCTCACATCATTCTCTTTTTATATGCAAGAAACTAGCAATGTGTGGTAAAATAATAATTACAATTTTCTTTTTCTTTTCTTTTTTAATTTGAAAGATAAAATATAGGATTATATGTTATATACAAGAAATTGTTAGAAATATTAAATTAGATTTAATTACATTTAATATTTAAACATAATTCAAGTTTGGTTAGCCCAAGTCCAAATTTAATATTTAAACATAATTCAAGTTTGGTTAGCCCAAATCCAATTAGGGTTGTATATAAATAGTCATAGTATATATTATTATTTGTATAATTTAATAATACAAATTTTTATTTCTTTTATTATTCTCTCTTTCTCTCTCCACTAAAAGTGTCTCACGCACTAACAAATTGATATTCAGAGCTTTCGATTATTGTTTTTGATCTACTTTTCAAGAATTTCATGTATTTCACGTCAGAGGTTGCTTTTCTAGGCAAGTGAAACAACTGCTACGAAGATGACTAGTGATAAGGGCATTATGAGTCCTCTTCCAATGCTTGACGGTAAAAGTTAGATCCGATGGAAAAAACAAATGCAATCCTTGTTTGGCTTCCATGAAACCCTAGAAGTGGTTACCGATGGCGTTCCTACGTTGGCTCCAAATGCAACCAACGAACAAAAAAAAAACCCACAACGAAGTCAAGAAGAAAGATTGCAATGCTACTTATTGCATTCAAACGGTTGTTGATGCTGCTAATTTCCATAGAATCTCTCATGCTGAAACGGCATAAGAGGCATGGGATATTCCGGTGAAGTATTTCGAAGGAGGTGAGAAAGTCAAGGTTGTCAAATTACAAACCTTGCATCGACAATATGAGTTGTTATCGATGGGAGAAGATGAAAAAGTTGCAGAATATGTGTCGAAGGTTCAGAAATCGGTCAATCTCATAAAGGATTGTGGTAAAACCATTACTGATAAGATGATAGTTGAGAAGGTAATGAGAATGTTGACCTCTCACTTTGATCATGTTATCGTAGCTATTCAAGAATCAAACAATCTTGAAATCACTAAAGTGGAAGATTTGGTTAGTTCGTTGGAGGCGCATGAGATGAGGATTGTCGAAAGGAATGAAGTTCAAGACTCGATAAACGCACTGCAAGCTCAATCATGGAAAAAGGATGGTGGTTCCAACAAATTCAAAGGCAAGTTCGACAAGACTCATGGCAAGAAGTCTTGGTTGAATCCCCATAAGAATAAGATCGAAGATAGATCTTCTGAATCCTCGAAAATGGGAGGTGGAAACTATCGAAAGGACAAAGAAGATAAGTAAGGTATGCAGTGTTATAACTGTGAAAAGTGGAAACATTTGGCCAAAAATTGTTGGTACAGAAAAGACAAGGGATCGAAAGGCAAGGACAAAGGAGCGAACCTTGTATGCCAAGATTCAGATGATTTTGAAGGTGGTATGATGGTTATGGCTATAGTTGGAGATAACCATGTCGAATCCAATATCTAGTTTCTCGACTCAAGCTGCTCGAACCATATGACTGGTCGAAAGGAGTGGTTGACAGATTTTAACGATTCAAAGAAGAGCAAGGTCAAATTTGCTGATAATAGTCTGTTGCAAGCAGGAGGTACTGGCAACATAGTCTTTCAAATGAATAATGGAGGGAAGCTATGATCAAAGATGTGCTTTATGTACCTAGAATGAAATACAACTTGCTAAGTGTTGGACAACTAGTTGAAAAAGGTTTCTAAGTTGTCATAAAAGATGGAGTTTTGAAATTGTTCGATGTAACGCCCGTAATTTAATTAATTATTTTTGGAATATTTGTGAAGAAGTGTTATTATAATTGGATTTATTTTATTAAATGGAGAAATAATAATATATTTGAGGTATTATATTATTGGATGGTGAAATAATATTAGAAGTTAATATTATTTAATGTGGGCCTATAGTGTGTGAGTGGAAGTAATAAGGGGGGGGGGGGGGGGGGGGCGTGTAAGTTTGGATCCCACTAAGGAATAATATAATAATACTAGGTTATTTTATTATTTATGATAAAGAATAGAAGGAGGAAGCAGTAAGAAGAAAATAAGGATTGTGAAGAACGTGAAGCTGCTAGAAATAGAAGGAGACGACAAGAACAAAGATTCAACCCGGAAATTGTAGAGCAACCTTCGATCCAAGGTAAGGGTGGGGTTCTGGCTTTATAATTGGGTTCATGATGTTTGATATATGGGGTTAGATATAATTGCTGTTTGTTCTTGAATCGGATATGTTATGAATGATGTATGGTGAATATTGATGAATTCTTGATGAACAGTGATGTTATCATGTTGTTTGATCGAGGGAGTAATAGAGTATGATGTTAAGTGATGAATTACCATGATTATAATGAGGTTTGTAGGACTGTAATTAGATTCTCGTGGTGAATTATAGTAGAAAATGCATAAAATTATGCAGGAGGAACCAAGATGTGTCGACCTCAAGCTGGATGAGTCGATACATGGGCGATGTTAGACTCAGGATGAGTCGATGCATGCAGGGCTTGCATCGAGACATGTTAGTTTCAAGACTCAGGATGAGTCTATCGGTAAGGTGCATGTGTCGATACATGCTGTAATTTGAAGCAGGATGAGTCGATCCATGAGGAGGATGTGTCGACTCATGCTGTGCAGGAGAAGCATTATGCGTCGATCCACAGAGTTTCGTGTCGACCCATACTGACTAATTTTAACAGAATCAATTTTTAAATTGCTGTAACTTGAGTTGTAGGATGCTGTTTTAGATGTCGTTCAAAGCGTTGATTAGCTAACGCGATGAACTTTATTCTAGATGATTCAAATGATGATGAAGAGGTGTAATCCTAGTAACCAATCTAAGATTTAAAATTAATTCCCATAGATGACCGTTGTACTGATTTTTGGACAGATTGATGAATGTGAGATGTTTAGAGGCTGCTGTTAGAATTATGACAGTAGGATTAGTGACAGAAACGAAGTAGAACTGCAGAATAACAGTATGGATTACTGTAGTATTAATATACAGCTGAGTTATTAGTAATATATGGTTATTAAAGTTGTGTTTGATAGTTATGATGAACAAATGACATTTGATAAATAAGTGATGTTTAATAAATTATTTTGAGATGTTTATGAGATGCTGTAATTGAGATGTTTTGAGATGTTTGTAAGATGTTGTTATTTTGAGATGATTGAGATGTTGTTGTTCTGAGATGTTTATGAGATGTTGTTATTTTGAGATGTTTATGAGATGTTGTGTTTTGAGATGATTGAGATGTTGATATTACATTCATGAAGAGTCGCATACATTGCATTTTTGAGATGGAGCTTATGCTCGTTGAGATGGCCTGGATTGGCAAATTTTGAGATGAAGGCTATGCCTTATTGATGCCTCTATCAATTGGCAGATTTTTAAGATGGGGGTTCTGCTCCAATGGTACCACATGCATTTGCATAGTTTTGAGTCGCATTATATGATTGAGTCATGAAGTGTATTTGATGTTGATGAATGAGTATATATGCTGTAATTATTGTTGATTATGAGACGAGAAGTGGTGACATTATTGATTTGATTTAATATATTAATTATCACGCGCTTTATTATATTGTTAGATATCTCACCCCTTCTGTTTGAATGTTGCCCTTATGTTGGTAACGTGTAGGTAATCGAGAGTGAAGGCTATATACCTTCAATAGTTCGAGTCAGTGTCATTGCTCTGATATGTAACACTCGGGGGGATGAACGCTTGCTGATTTTTGATTGTTGATTTTTAGTTGTTTACTTTTAAATTGAATTATTATTAATTACGAGATGTTTCGAAGTTGTTGTTTCATTTAGAGATGTTATTGAAGAATTCCGCCGTGTAGTTGTTGAATTATTTTATTAAGGATGCTATGTTGATGGTTCATCCGATGTTTTATTATAAGTGTTATATATCCATGATGAATGCAATGAATTTTTTAGAAGAATTTGTGACGTCCCGATTCGTTTGTATGAATGAAATTTTATAACTCTGATTTATCTCGCTTAATTTGCTTGGGGTAGAATTGGGGTGTTACAAAGTTGGTATCAGAGCAAAAGGTTGGTCCGACCTTGTCGTCGAGTCGTAGTTGTCTAACAATCGAGTATTGTTATTTTGAGTTCTAACAGTTGTTTGTGTTGTAGTGATAAGTTGAGATGGCTGGAAGGAATGATGCTGCTCTTGCTGCTGCTCTAGAAGCAATGGCTCATGTGATGGAAAATCAGCCAAATGCTGACGGGAATGCTGAATCTTGTAGCTTGGCGACTTTCCAGAGAGAGAATTCACCTACGTTCAAGGGAAAATATGATCCTGACAGAGCATTGGAATGGTTGAAAGAGATTGAGAGAATCTTTTGCGTGATGGATTACACTCCAGCGCAGAAGGTTTGTTATGGGATTCATATGCTAGCAGTCGAGGCTGATAACTGGTGGCTAGAGACTTGTCGGAAGTTGGAAGCTGCAGGTGAGAATGTCACTTGGGCTGTGTTCCGTAGGGAGTTTTTGAGAAAGTATTTTCCTGAATATGTCTGTGGTAAGAAGGAGATTGAGTTCCTTGAGCTGAAGCAAGGAAATCTGTCTGTTGTTGAGTATGCTGCCAAGTTTGCTGAGTTGGCCAAGTTTTATCCGCATTACGCTGAGGAAAATGCTGAGTTTTCAAAGTGTATTAAGTTTGAGAACGAGTTGCGCCCGGAAATTAAGAAGGCAGTTGGATACCAGAAGATCCGTGTCTTTGCTGATTTGGTTGATAGCTGTAGGATTTATGAGGAAGACAATAATGCACATTACAAGATTATCAGTGAGAAGAGGGGTAAGCACCCACAGAGAGTAATGTGTGCACTACTGAAGTGAAGAGGTGTTACCGTTGTGGTAAGAACGAACATGTTGTATCTGAGTGTGAGCACAAGAATGTGGTTTGTTTCAACTATAAAGAAGAAGGGCACATTGGTAGCCAGTGTCTGAAACCGAAGAAGGCTCAGTCTAGTGGTAAAGTGTTTGCTTTGGTGGAGGATCAGACATCTTCCGAGGACAGACTTATTAGAGGTACATGTTTCATTAATAGTACTCCTTTAATTACTATTATTGATACTGGTCCTACGCATTGTTTTATTACTGCTGATTAGGTTGAAAGATTGGGTCTTGTGTTGTCTTCTTTGAGTGGAGAAATGGTCGTCGATACTCCAGCCAAGGGATCGGTGACTACTTATTTTGTGTGTGCTAAGTGTCCCTTGTCGATCTTCGACAAAGACTTTGTTGTTGATTTGGTTCGCTTGCCGTTAAGAGGTTTGGATGTGATTCTTGGTATGAAATGGTTAGAGAATAACTGTGTTCATATTAATTATTATGACAAGTCGGTGAAGTTTTCTACTCCTGAAGAAGAGGAAGATGGTCTGTTGTCTGCTAGACAGTTGAGAAAGTTGATGCAAGAGGAAGCCCAGATGTTCTCGTTGATGGCGTCGCTATCTGTAGAAACTCAAGCTATAATTGAGGAATTACCGGTGGTATGTGAATTTCCTGAAGTTTTCCCTGATGAGATTCCTGATGTACCGCCAAAGAGGGAAGTTGAATTTGAAATTGATCTTGTACCTAGTACCAGACCTGTGTCTATGGCACCATACAGGATGTCTGCGTCTGAGTTGTCAGAGTTGAAGAAGCAATTGGAAGAGTTACTTGAGAAGAGGTTTGTAAGACCAAGTGTATCACCATGGGGAGCTCCAGTGTTGTTAGTGAAGAAGAAAGATGGAAGCATGAGGCTTTGTGTTGATTATAGACAGATGAACAAGGTGACGATTAAGAACAAGTATCCTCTTCCAAGAATAGATGACTTGATGGACCAATTGGTGGATTCCCGTGTGTTTAGAAAGATTGATTTGAGGTCGGGTTACCATCAGATTAAAGTGAAGGATAAAGACATTCAGAAGACGGCTTTCAGAACATGTTATGGACATTACGAGTATTCGGTAATGCCTTTCGGTGTTACTAATGCGCCGGGAGTATTCATGGAATATATGAATCGTATCTTTCATACTTATTTGGATCGGTTTGTAGTGGTGTTCATTGATGATATTTTGATTTACTCTAAGTCGGAAGAAGAGCATGTTGAACATTTAAGAGTAGTATTGCAGATTCTGAAAGAGAAGAAGTTGTATGCAAAGCTGCCCAAGTGTGAATTTTGGTTAAAAGAGGTTAGTTTTCTTGGTCATGTGATTTCAGGTAGTGGCATTGTTGTAGATCCATCGAAGGTTGATACTGTGTTGCAATGGGAAACTCCAAAGTCAGCTACTGAGATTAGAAGCTTCTTGGGATTAGCTGGTTATTATAGAAGGTTTATCGAAGGGTTTTCTAAGTTGTCACTTCCGTTGACTAAGTTTACTTGTAAAGGTAGAGCGTTTGTATGGGATGTTCAGTGCGAAGAAAGTTTTACGGAATTTAAGAAGAGGTTGACGTCGGCTCTGATTTTGACGTTGCCTAATCCAGAAGAGCCTTTTGTGGTGTATTATGATGCTTCTAATATGGGTTTAGGAGGTGTGCTTATGCAGAATGGTAAGATAGTTGCTTATGCGTCGAGGCAGTTGAGGACTCATGAGAAGAACTATCCTACGCATGATTTAGAGCTTGCTGCAGTTGTTTTTGTGTTGAATATTTGGAGGCATTATCTTTATGGTTCTAGATTTGAAGTGTTTAGTGACCATAAGAGCTTAAAGTATTTATTTGATCAGAAGGAGTTGAATATTAGGCAACGAAGATGGTTAGAATTGTTAAAGGATTATGATATCAGTTTGAATTATCATCCAGGAAAGGCGAATGTGGTAGCTGATGTGTTGAGTCGAAAGACTTTACATATGTCAGCAATGATGATTAAGGAGTTGGATTTGATTGAGCAGTTCAGAGATATGAGCTTAGTTTGCGAGGTTACTTCGCAGAGTGTTATGTTGGGTATGTTGAAGATTAATAATGAATTTCTAGACAGTATCAGAGAAGCTCAGAAGTTGGATGTGAAATTGGTAGATTTGATGGTTGGGACTGATCAATCTGAGAATAGTGATTTTAAGCTAGATGCGCAGGGTGTGTTGATATTTCGTGACCGGATTTGTATTCCTGATGATGCTGAGATGAAGTGATACTCGAAGAGAGTCATAGAAGTAAGTTGAGTATTCATCCAGGAGCTATAAAGATGTATCAAGATTTGAAAGGTTTGTTTTGGTGGCCTGGGATGAAGAGTGATGTGGCTCGATTTGTGTATGCATGTTTGACTTGTCAGAAGTCGAAAGTTGAACATCAGAAGCCTGTAGGGTTGATGCAACCGTTGGAAGTTCCAGAATGAAAATGGGATAGCATTTCAATGGACCTTGTGACGGGGTTGCCTAGTACTTCAATAGGACATGATTCGATTTGGGTGATTGTTGATAGGCTTACAAAGTTAGCTCATTTTATTCCTATTAACCTCAGTTTTCCAGTGTCGAAGTTGGCTGATATTTATAATAGTGTGATCGTGAAGCTGCATGGTGTTCCTTTTTGCATTGTGTCAGATAGAGATCCAAGATTTACTTCTGATTTTTGGAAGAGTTTGCAAGAAGCGTTGGGTTCTAAGTTGAGGTTGAGTTCAGCGTATCATCCTCAGACAGATGGTCAGACTGAACGGACGATTCAATCGTTAGAAGACTTGTTAAGGGCATGTGTTCTCGAGCAGGGAGGTTCGTGGGATACTTATCTTTCGTTGATAGAGTTCACTTATAATAACTGTTACCATTCTAGTATTGGGATGGCACCTTTTGAAGCGTTGTATGGTCGAAGATGTAGAACTCCGTTATGTTTGCATGAATCTGGTGAGAGTGTAGTACTTGGACCTAAACTTGTTCGTGAGACTACTGAGAAGGTGAAGTTGATTCGAGAAAAGATGAAAGCTTCACAAAGTAGACAGAAGAGTTATCATGACAAGCGAAGGAAAGATTTAGAATTTCAAGCTGGTGATCATGTGTTTTTGAGAGTTACACCTGTGACTGGTGTTGGGCGAGCATTGAACTCTAAGAAGCTCACTTCTCGTTTTATTGGACCGTATCAGATTTCAGAGAGAGTGGGGAATGTTGCTTATAGAGTGGCTTTACCGCCTAATCTTTCGAATTTGCATGATGTGTTTCATGTGTCGCAACTTCGGAAGTATATTTTAGATCCATCTCATGTAATTCATATGGACGATGTGCAAGTATGGGATAATCTTACGATGGAGACGATGCCTGTACGGATTGCAGATCGTGAAATGAAGACCCTGAGGGGAAAAGAGATTGCCTTGGTTAAAGTGGTTTTGTTAGGAGCTGCAGGAGAAAGCGTGACTTGGGAATTGGAGATCAAGATGCGAGACTCCTATCCTGAATTATTTGATTGAGGTAAATTTTCGAGGAGGAAACTATTCTAAGTGGGAGAGAGTTGTAACGCCCATAATTTAATTAATTATTTAATTAAATTATTTTGGAATATTTGTGAAGAAGTGTTATTATAATTGGATTTATTTTATTACATGGAGAAATAATAATATATTTGAGGTATTATATTATTGGGTGGTGAAATAATATTAGAAGTTAATATTATTTAATGTGGACCTATAGTGTGTGAGTGGAAGTAATAAGGGGGGAGGGGTGTAAGTTTGGAGCCCACTAAGGAATAATATAATAATATTAGGTTATTTTATTATTTGTGAGAAAGAAGGAGACGACAAGAACAAAGATTCAACCCATAAATTATAGAGCGACCTTCGATCCAAGGTAAGGGTGGGGTTCTGGCTTTATAATTGGGTTCAGGATGTTTGATATATGGGGTTACATATAATTGTTGTTTGTTCTTGAATCGGATGTGTTATGAATGATGTATGGTGAATATTGATGAATTCTTGATGAACAATGACGTTATCATGTTGTTTGATCGAGGGAGTAATAGAGTATGATGTTAAGTGATGAATTACCATGATTATAATGAGGTTTGTAGGACTGTAATTAGATTCCCGTAGTGAATTACAGTAGAAAAGGCAGAAAATTATGCATGAGGAACCAAGATGTGTCGACCTCAAGCTGGATGAGTCGATACATGGGCGATGTTAGACTCAGGATAAGTCGATGCATGCAGGGTTGCGTCGATACATGTTAGTTGTAAGACTCAGGATGAGTCGATCGGTAAGGTGCATGTGTCGATACATGCTATGATTTGAAGCAGGATGAGTCGATCCATGAGGAGGATGTGTCGACTCATGTTGTGCAGGAGAAGTGTTATACCCCAAAATTTTCCCTCTCATTTTATCAAGATTCTCCTCACAAGATTCTTTGGACTCAAGACCAGATTAGGGTTTGCTCAGCTCAAGACATCTCCTTGCACTGTTGACCTAAAATTAGGGTTTGAGTTTGCACATGTATTTTTGGACTTTCAATGCCTCATGTGACTTTCATACTTCATGTTGGACTTATAAGATTTCCTATACCAAGTTTCAAGCTTTGAATCACATTTTTGCCCAGTCAACTGGACAGTTGACTTGAAAATCAATTGTATTGGGGAAAAAGTCAACCATGGCCAATTTATAGTCAAACCTCATAATTTTTTATCCACATCAACCTTATAGACTCATGTGAACCATTTGATCAAACTTGGACCACGACTCCTCCAGAAATTTGATCAGATCATCAAAAGGGTCAAAATGGTCAAAATTAAGGTTTTGATTGTAGAAGGGCAATTTCTGATTTTTCACCTAGCCAATGGCAAATTTGGTTCAAGCATGGTTTCAAGGACTCAATGGCATCCTCTTGACCTAATCACAAGGTTCAAAAGATCTCAAATGCATTGAATTGACAGATGAATTTTCTAGTCAACTGATCAAAAATCAACTATACACTGAAAAGTCAAACTTTGACTTTTTGGTCAAAATCAAGTGCCAAGGGTCATATTTCATCAAGATGTGTCAAAACATGAAACTTGTTCACCAAGAAACCTAATTTTTAAAATTAGGGTTTAAGTTTGAAAGTTTTCATAACTTAGAATTTTTCTAAGTTATGAAAATTTATTATTTTTTCCCAACTTTTCCCAACTTTTTCACCATGATGCAACTGGATTCAAAGAAAACTCCCAACATAAAAGTTGTAGT